TTAGGACTGAGATGAGGAGAAATGTCTTCACCCAGAGAGTGGGGGGGGCCTGTGGGATTCTCTGTCACAGAAAGCAGTTGAAGCCAAAACATTGAATGTTTTCAGGAAGGATGTAGTTCTTAGGACTAAAAGGGACCGAAGGGTATGGGGAGAAAGCAGGAACACGGAACTGAGTTGGATGCTCAGCCATGATCATATTGAATGGCCTACTCCTGCTCCCATCTTTCTATGTTCCTAAGGAGTGTCTTCTCAGAGGAGAGAGACAGAAGCTGAGAGGGTGAAGGAGGGGATTCCTGAGCTTAGCAGCAAGGCAGCTATAAGTATCCATGGTTGGGTGATTAGAAAGTTCCTTTCTTCTCATGTCCACAATGTATCATGCACAGCCTCGACATTTTATCTCATTTCATTCGTGTGGCACAAGTACGTTTTCGTTGATCTTCCTCCTTGAACGACAGGTGCCCACTATGCCAGACGTGTGCCAACAAACACAAGGAGGCGATTTTAAGACGGGCGAGCGGGTCAGATTTGGTCAGAAGGGAAGCCTTAAACGGGGAAATATAGAACTGTGTCAGAGACATCCAATGTAACCAATGTTACAAGTTTAAAAGCGGCTGCTCAGGGGTTCCAGTCTTGGGGAATCCTGGCAGTTGTTAGCAAGATGAGGATAGCTTTGGGAGAAGGCAAATGCTTCTGCAGCGCTGGTTGTGGGCCACGTTGGAACATGAGTGCTTCCTCCAAGCTCCTCCACTACCTCAAGGGGGTCAAACACCGTAGCCTGGGGGTCAGGGTTTACAGTCACCTGGTCTGGAGTGCTGTGTATCTGAGCAGAGATCAAGGCAGTCAGATTTTGCAAACAGAAATGGAGGAGGGAGCGGTGGAAAAAGAGAGAGGAGCAAAACTAGATAACAAGGTGTAGAGCTGGATGAACACAGAAGGCCAGGCAGCATCAGAGGAGCAGGAAAGCTGACGTTTCGGGTCGGGACCCTTCTTCAGAAAATCTCTGATGCTGCCTTGGCCTGCTGTGTTCATCCAGCTCTACGCCTCGTTATCTCAGATTCTCCAGCATCAGCAGTTCCTACTATCTCTGAGGAACAAAACTATCCGTGCCACATCCATCAAACAAAACCAGGAATGAGCATCAGGTCTCTCTGCTTGACTGTGAATTGCTGCGGGTTTTCAGCGAACACCAGACTTAACCCATCTGGAATCCTCAGGCGGTTCACATTTCATGCAGGTTTTGAGAGGGGTTTCTGCAGATCATTGCTTCGTTTATCTTTTCATTTTTGCGCCCCTCTCCTCTGAAGCTACTCAGTGTCTTGGACACAGTAACCCTTCTCCGGGCTGCCCTGTGCAATTTGGAACAAACACAAACAGAAATTGCTGGAGAAACTCAGGGGGTCTGGTAGCTTCTGTGCGAAGAGAAACAGGGTTAAGATTTTAAGTCCGGGAGGACTCTTATTTAGACCCATTGTAAGGGGAGGGGGGGGGGGGGTGGAGAGAGAGAGCGAGAGAAAAAGAGAAAGAGAGAGAGAGAGAGAGAGAGAGAGACACAGAGAGAGACAGACAGAGAGACAGAGACACACAGAGAGAGGAGGGGGAGAGAGAGAGAGAGAGAGAGAGAGAGAGAGAGAGAGAGAGAGAAAGAGAGAGAGAAAGAGACAGAGAACAGAGAGAGACAGAGAACAGAGAGAGACAGAGAACAGAGAGAGACAGACAGACAGACAGACAGAGAGAAAGAAAGAGAGACAGAGAGAGACAGAGACAGAGAGAGACAGACAGACGGAGAGAGAGAGACAGAGACAGAGAGAGAGAGAGAGAGAGAGTGAGAGACAGAGGGAGAGAGAGAGACAGAGAGAGAAAGAAAGAGAGACAGAGAGAAAGATACAGAGAGAGACAGACAGACAGGGAGAGACAGATTGAGAGAGACAGAGAAAGACAGACACAGAGAGAGAGAGAGAGAGAGAGAGAAAGAGAGCTCCCTCGATGATGACAGAGAGTGGGTATCCTGCTTGCTTTTGCCCATCCCCTTCGCCTCCGTCAGCCTATTCATGATGATATATTTGTTCATAGGATGTGGATGTTGCTGGCTGGGCCAGCTTTTACTGCCCATTCCTGATGTATGTCTGTCTTGTATGTCACCTTATCCAATGCTTTTTGAAACTCCAAATACATCCACTGGTTTCCCCTTATCCATCTTAGTGCACCCACAAATAAACTACTAATAATGTTTGCGAAACCTGACTTCCCTTTCACAGATCCTTCCTAATTCTGCTTAATCCTATCGTTTTCTAAGGGCCCTGCATCATGTTCCTAGTAATAGAATATATTTTGATGGCAGGCGAACTG